GTCCCCTTCCTATGGACAGCAGTGGATGGTGTCACAGCTGATGGGGACAGATTCATGCCTCTGATTTACCATGTGGATGCCAGCTCTCAGCTATGGTGGCTTTGGACAGTAGACTGAATTAAGGGGCAACAGGAAGGGGACGGGTACTCAGTGAGGCCTGGAATAATTAGACACAGGAGACTGACCTGGCTGGCTGCTCATTTGGGAGATAGGAATGTATATGCCATGGACCTGGCCCTTCACTCATGAACTCCCAGCCCTGGCCTCAGCTTAGATTCTAAACAAGGCAAAGAACACTCACTGATAACTCACAGGCCTGCAGCAAGAACCACAGATTCCAGGATCACACACAGGCCCAGATGATAGTAGACACCTGCCACCCGATGGGGACGATGTGGGCAGAACACAGCACACATTCAGGGACAGGGAGAAGGACAACACCAGCCTTTGCATAAGGGCATGTGGCACAGCTTCCTGTGTTGACTTTGGGAAGTGGTCACAGAAGCAGACAATAATGTCACAAGAAGGAGACCCCAAGATGCCAGTGGGCCACCAGATGAAGATGCCATGAGACAGCTTGGAATCTGAAGGGGCAGTGGGTCTGGGCAGCCCTGGCATGTTAAGTGGTATCAGAAGTGATGATGGAGAGATGAAAAAGGAGAGGAAAAGTGGGGGTATAGAAGCTCCCCTGTTCATCCCCAGGAATCCCTGGGTGGGCGGGAAGCAAGAGTGAGAAGGTAAGGCAGCTGAGGGGGCTGCTAGGTAACACTGAGGAAGCCCAGTCACAGATGAGGAAATACCAGAGGCACAGAAACCTGCATGGGGGAGCTGGAGCCTGATTTTAGTGGACCTCAGTTTCAGAGCAAATGTCCTCTTCTTTGACACCCTCAGCTCCCGTACGTCGTCAGTGGTCAACCCAAATGGACCTGCTCCATGTCCCATCTCACCCCCTGTTTATGTCCAGTCCCCGTCATTGTCCCCAGCAGTTCTCGCTCCTCAGCTTCAGAACTTTCTCTTCTTCCGGACATTGGTTTCAGAGGCTCCCTGGTCTGATGGTTCTGGGGCTAGAGAACAGATTATACTCACTCCACTGCTGCTTGCCTAGAAACTAGGTATAGGAGGAGTTGTCCAAAGGCTAAAGACTTGCTGCATCATTGTGGATGAAGGGATGCACATGAGTGTGTGGGTGAGAGATAGATATCAGTGAGTCGATGAATACAGAGATGGATGGCACATAGCACACACATGATGGATGGACTGATGAATGAATATATTCATACAAATATACACATATACACATATACATACATACACACACACACACACATATATATATATGTGGTATGTGGGGGGGGACATGTACACGTAAGTACTCATATGAGTGAATAGGAACACATGGATAAGACAGTCAACTGGCTTCAGGGGTTAAGTGATGAGTAGATGGACAGGTGGATGGATGGATGTGTGTATGTATGTATGTATGTATGTATGGATGGATGAGTGAATACGTAGATAAATGGACAGTGAGTAGATGGGTGAGTGGATGTGTGGATAGGTGGAAAGGTAAAGGAGTGGATGGGCAGATGGATAGAAGGGTGATGGATGAGAGGTGAAATGAGTGGACAGGTAAAGAGTGAATGGGGAGACGGGTGGTTAGATGGTAGGCAGTTGGGTGGATGGATATGTAGCTGGGTTCAAAGATGAATGGATGGGTGGATGAGTACATGAGTTGGTGGGTGGAAGAACAGATGAGTAGGTGAGTAAAAAGATGTGTGTGTGTGTGTGTGTGTGTGTGTGTGTGTGTGTGTGTGTGTGTAAAATGGAAAGGAAGGTGAGTAAGTTGATGAATTGGCAGAACATAAGGTTTATCATCAAATATTCCAAGTTTCGTTGTGGCTCCTGTTCACTAGCTGCCATTCCAGGCACTGCTGGTCCTTGTCACTGGACTCCAGCTTCTCATCATTGCTGAGTGGGTCATACGAGGGCCCCAGGCAAGGCACAGGGAGCCCGGAGTGCTGCGAACCACTGTGGAGTTCGCTTGCCAGAAATCACATCCAAAATGCACATTGAAGAAACATAATTTCCACATGGCTGGTTTTAAGACCAAGTAATTAAATGGTTTTACAGTCGGTTTTTAAAACAAGCTCTTTGAGTTATGAGCATAAAGCATGTCTCCATCATGTCCAAGTTGCTCGGCCTAGAGATTTCCAGCACAGTGGGTTTTATAATTAGGTTGCACTTCAGCTCCATCATGGATGAGGCCACTTTGTAGAACTCATTTTGTGGCCTGATGTGACATAATTAGACATAGAAGTTCTCAATGAGGGCTTTACCTGGGGTCGTCTTATAGGAAGCTGGAGGGCACCTGGAGCTGAGGCTGTGAGGGAGAGCATCTAGGGAGACATTACTCTCAGCATGGAAAGGAAAGGCCCGGGATGCTTCTAGGTGGAAGCCATCCTCTCCCTGTGTAACTGGGTGATGTGCCATGACCTCTGCCACTGAGCTTGAAGGCTGCTGGCAGACTCCATCCCCAAAACATGATCTCAGAGGCTGGAGCCTAGGGGAAGCCGGGCTGCCAGCCAATAGGGCGGCCAGTTGGATAAAAAATTTTCAGCAAATGAACAAACGCTTAGTATAAATATACGTATGATATTTGAGACACAGTAAGAATAGTCCATTGCTTTTGTGAAATTCAAATTTAACTCTGTTTTTTTCTTTTCTAAACTTTTTGTCATGTTGCACTTTGAGTCTCTGAAGTGAGTTCAGAGCCCATAGCTCCCTTGTGGCCAGTGTGAAGCCAACCGTGGCTCCTCATTACCTATGATAAGTGGCGGGCATTCTGACGGGAGAATTTGGGTCTGAGGAGCGCCAAGGGGCCTGCCAGTCCCTCAGGAAAAGAAAGGGGGAGCTTTGTGCCAGCGTCAGTGAGCATGGAGAGCCATTTGGGAAGTCACTTTATTGAAGTTGCAGGCAGTGTAGAAGAGGGAAGTGTGGACAAAGGGACACCACCAGCAGCCTGTCTGTGGAGCAGTGGTGACCTGGGCTTGGTCAGGGTAGGGGCTTGGCCTGCGCCTCATCTGACTTTAAGAATGTGTCCTCCCTTCCCACCTTTCCAGGGCTGAAGCTGGGAACTTCAGGACCCTGCCATGGGTCATTCTGTCCCAGTCTTGGCTTCTTTTGTCACTCTCATCCTGGGCCCTCAAGGCTAGGATAGACTGGTATGGCGAATGCACATGATAGAACCCGGAAGCACGGACATGCTGTGGCTGTCGGATGGATCACACCACCACACGTGCCTATTTTACGCCAGGCTAGACTCCTGGCAAGCTCTGCTGGAAGCTGTAGGTGTGCTGGGGACAAGAACCCTTGGTCCCACATGGGCATCCTCCATACACATGGGGACAGCTTAGTCAGAGGCCTGTCCTGGAGGCAGCAGTGGATGCTCACCTGGACATGGAGTGGAGATTTGGGGGCAGGGTTGTTGTCCTCCTTCGCTGTCCTTGTGTCTCCTCTCCGTTCTCTCCCACCTAAGCTTCAGTTCTTCTGCTCTGTGGCCAACCACCATAAACCCATCTGGATTCCTGTCCTGTCCTGTCTGGTTGATCTCACCATTTCATGATACAGCTCCCAGTGCCTCTGCCCACAGCACTCAGCTTAACCTCGAACTCCTCTCCCTCCCATGTGCCAAATGCGTCACCATTATCTCTCAGCTCTCCATGGCTATGCCCCACGACAAAGCCACAAGAGTCGCTTATGTGCTTTTGTGTTAAACTCCTTGTTCCTGAACACAACAAGTAACAGGCCCATGAATAGAGGCCAGGACCAAGGATGAGACCAGAGTCTTTCTCCTGCCACAGGGGTTCCCTGGAGCACAGGTGCCCACTGTGTGCTCAGAAAGCTGCTTCTGGAAGATTCTTGGTACCATGTTTCAGTCCAGGGGTCATGGAGCTTCCAACCTGATTTCAGATCCACCACTCCTCAGTGGCAGCCAGAGTCACAAGGGAGATGTTCAGGCCGCCAGGCCACATACAGGTGCTAAATTAACCTCTGCCTCGCTTCCCTGTGCCATGGAGGACCATGACTCTTTTTTATTTTCTTCATAAAATCATTCAAACCATTTTTAGCTTGTGGTCACAGGGACTGGACAGTGAGCAAAACCATGTGTGCACCATGCCCAGGCCACTTCCAGAGGGGACTCTGATGATGGGTTCATATTCACAGGACAATTAAAATCATGACAGGACTCGAAGGAGAGCAGCCCTCCGCCCCATGTGAACTGAAGCTACTCCAAGGGTGTGGGGTAAGCTTGTGGTGGAGGAGAGAGACATGCAGGTACCCCCTAGACCTTTCAACCATGCAGAATTAGGACTCTCTGTACCCTGGACAGCTTCATCTACACCTGGAAGACGGAGCAAACTGCACCTCAGTTACACTGGCTCCAGGTGGTTCACACAGGCCACCATGTCTGTGGTGGTGGGGGGATTCCTCTGAAATACTATCCCACTGTAGTGGGAAATTTTCCCCTCAAGTTGGGAGGAGCTAAGGTGGGAAGAGTAAGGAGAGGAAGAGGAAGAGGAAGAGGATGAAGAAGAGAGGGAGAGAGGACTGAAGAGAGGGGAACATGGCAGCAGCAGATGTGCACGTGTTTCTAGCAGTCTAAGGTAGTTGTAATATCTAGGTTGGGTATTGGGTAACACCTCTAAGTGTGTGGGCATCTTGATATTGAGCATTACCAAACTATAAAGCCTTTGGTTAATCTTTAAACATTAGAGTCTCATTTCTACTGGGTACCATGTGGATAGCAGGATGGTCTGGGCTCAGCCTAGCTTTGTGGAGACAGTGTGGAAGATTGGCAGAGCCATCTCCCAAGCTGGCGTCTCGTGGGTGGCAGTGCCGGTGTCTCTGGCCACCTGAGCTGGTGGCTGAGCCTAGCGGTGGTGGCGTATCCTCAGGCCTAGGCTAGTTGGGAAGATGGCGGCTGATTAAGAACAAGCAAGATAGTGCTCACTTCGGCAGCACATATACTAAAATTGGAATGATACAGAGAAGATTAGCATGGCCCCTGTGCAAGGATGAAAAAAAAAAAAAAGAACAAGCAAGATCGGGTGTCGACGTTTTAAAATATTACCGCAACATCCCACCCCTTAGTGAGCCTTCATTTTTCACAGTCCTGGTAGCTGCCAGCTACCCACCACTTCCTACACGTGGACACTTGGAAGGCTGCTTGTTGTGAAGTTCAGTTCTACTGTGTGTGGTAGATGGCGCTTCTCCTCTCTCTTCCCTGCAAGCACATGTGGTTGAAGCCTGGGGGCATCCTTATGAACTTCTGGGAACTCAGTGAAGGAGGGAAGCCCTAGGTCCCAATCTTGTGCTTTGTGGGGGAGGGTGTCACCACCCACTACCACTTCTGGATTCTTCACCACTAAGTAAGGAGCTGTCTTCCCCCGACCCCAACTCCCATGGTTCCAGCTGCCAGGCTAGGTATCAGGGTTGTCACGTCCTTGCATGGCAGTCCCTCAGAATCAACCTTTCTTGCTTTCTGGGTTCTAAACCCTCTGAGAGGCTGACAGAAGAGTCAGTCTACTATCTCTGACAATGAGCAGTAGACAGCTCTGCTGCTTTGCCATAGTTTTTGAGGCACTTGTGTACTGCCCACCTGTGTACACTTTACCTGTGCACACCCCACCTGTGTACACCCCACCTGTGTACACCCCACCTGTGTACACCCCCACCCATCTACACTCTACCCGTGTACACCCCACCTGTGTACACTCTACCCGTGCACACCCCACCTGTGTACACTCTACCCCCAGTGAAAATGTATGGTCCAGAGTGAGGACAGGAGACACAGTCTCCTGACGTGAAGACCATAGCTTCTGTAGAATACAGCCCTGTACCCCCCTCCTTTGTCCCTTGCCAATGTCCTCATTTAATTGGCAGAATGATGCAATGTACCTTGGGAACATATACACAGGGATGGGTGTCATGGTGGGTGTGGCATCTAAAAGTCATGTCCTCACAATTTCCCAGGCTAGTTCCCAACCGCCTTCCCTGGCAACATCTGAAAGTCAGTCTCTTGATGCTGGTTAGAGTTCTAAAAATTGCCTCTGACACTGTGAGCTCTGCTTAGCATGTCTACAAATGCGCCTGGGTCGGAGGAGGTCCAGAGCAGGTGTTAGCGAGCTAATCACCACCTCACAGTTACAAAGCAGCAGCCTGCAGGCCGCTGTGGTCATGGACTCACTAGTGCCAAGACAAGAGCCAAGGGAGGGAGGGAAGGACAGCACCCACTGCAGCAACATGAATCCAGACGCGAAGACCAGGGCTTGCTTGTGACACTGGCTCAGAGAGCTGGAAGGACTCTGTGTGACAGACTGAGGGAACTAAGAAACACAGAGCCAGCCACCATGAGAAGCCACTGAGCCTCTTCTGAACTCAGCCCTCTCATCTTCCACAGCACATCACGGGGCTGCTTCTGTTCTCTCTCCTAGGAGCCCTCCTTTGCTGCTACTTTGCCCAACACTGTCAACATGTTACTTATATGCTAGGTTGTAGGCCAAGGACACAGAGCAGGACATGATCCCTGTCATTCAGGAAGCTCAACTTGCAAAGTTACAAAGACCAGGGGCAGCCAGGAGGGAAGAGGCTGCAGAGGTTGGGGCATGGGAAGAGTTGGAGAGGGAATGTCTGAATTGAAAGCACTACCTGGAGGAGGTGGCAGCAGAGATGAAATACTACCAAGACCTTTCCCAGAGCAGGGAGAGTGTAGCAGGCTGAGGCACTGGCGGTGTGAAGGGCAGATCTCTGATGGCTCCAGACTTTGCTTCTCCCCTTCCTGCTTGTTATTCTCAAGAACACAGAACATGCTGAGCTAAGGGGTACCAGCAAAACCAGACCACTCTATTCCAGCTGGCCTGAGGACAAGTTCATCTCAAAGTCTACAGTGGGGAACCCAGGCTTCCTGGGGTACTTGCTGAGAGACAGGGGCCATGAGGGGTACCAGCTGGGACTCTATCTACCCTGGGTAGCTTTCTATAGGCAAGACCTAGCTGCAATGGGGCCCAGCTTCTGTTGCTCCAGGTTGCCTTTCTAACTCATCATCATCATCATTATCATCATCATCATCACCATCATCACCATCATCATCATCATCTGCTTATGAGGACTGGGAGTGTGGCTCAGCTGGTAGAGTGCTTGTCCAGCTTACAGCAAGCCCTGGGTTAGATTCCCAGTGCTACATAAACCAGGCATGGTGAAGGATACAGTCCTAGTACTTGGGAGTGAGAGACAGGGTAGATCAGAGACGTTCACAGATATCATCTGCTACAGAGAAGGTGCAAGGCTAGTTTGGGCTACATGAGATCCTGTCTCAAAACAAGGAAACAGAAACTGCTAACGGGACGTGAGCATCAGTGCATTCTAGCTTCCTGAGTTCAGGGCCATTTGGGCTGTGAGGCTGGACCATGGAACCAATTCCCAGGCTTGAAGGCTACATGTGCCAAATACTGTAATTTACAGAAATGCCAATGTGGGGTCCGTGGTGGGGTGCTGCCTCTTATTTCCAACAAAGAAAATTAAGATTCCATATCTCTAGCCACGGAATCATAAGAAAAGGGCTGTGCAAATATTCCCAGAGCAGGGAGGCGCAACAAGAGGGCGGGGCTTCTGGAAGAGGCCTCACTTGGGAGGCACAGGGCAGAAGGGGCGGGAGGAGCTAAGGAGGGTGCGAAAGGGGCAGAGCCGGCGGGTTCTGGACAGGGTGGTGTGTGTGTGTGTGTGTGTGTGTGTGTGTGTGTGTGTGTGTGTGTGTGTG